AAAATTTGTTCGACATTTTCGTGATAAAATTTATGAAGATATAAAATGGCTTTGTGGATGCATAAAAATGCAAAAATTGTTTTGTTGGCCTTGCCTACTATTTTCAAATAAAATTAGTGTGTGGAATGAGATTGGCTTTGACGATTTAAATAATTTGAGTAAAGCTGGCAAAAAACACGAAAATCGTAAATCTCCGTCGATTCTTTCGTAAAATTGAAGGAATTTGGAAATCAAAATAGAATAAAATTTAACATTAATACACAATATAAAATAAATATTGAAAATTATAACCAGATAGTTACGGCTAATAGATATATTATATTTTAATTAGTAGATGTTATCGAAGAGAGTATTGGCATTTAGAGAGAATCTATCAAATCTAATATAACTGAGTTAATTATATTGTACTTGCTTATTTATAAAGTGCGTTAGATAATCTATTAATTATAAATACATTTAGAGAAGTCTACGGTTTTTACTGGCTTATCGAACAAACGAATACAAATGACCCCTAGACCATCGCTGATTGATTGCCCCTGGAAGTCGACTTCTTACAGAAACACAGCTTCTCTATCATCAAATGTCACGGCACGCCACTGGAGCTTTCTTTTTTGCTTCGCTTAAGTAGGATGTAAACCGACTCCAGTTTTCCATAGAAAGTCCCTCTGGAGACGTCCTCTTCCTTGGCAGATTGCTCGCGTGTTTCATTGCCGTATCCAATCAATTCAATCAACTAATTCATGGTGTTTCCAAGTTCACTAACTACAGTTACAGTGCACTGTGTTTCTCAGTATGATCATTTACAATTGCATAAATGAATCAAGAAATGCTAACAATATGAACTAACGTACTGCAAAAAATAAAACAATAAAACATTAAAATTCAATGACCGATAGCAATATCTGTGATTACAATAAGCTCATTCTATACTTGTTTTGAATTAAACTTTGAAATTCCAACCAAAGAAACAAAACCGTTGAAATTTAAATAAAAATTCTCTACTTATTACAAGTGACTAGTTATTTAAGTTCAAACGGAAGAAGATACTTGTTTCTTTTAGCATTATACTGGAAGCGCTGTATTCTACAAAAGTGTAAAAACTACTAAAATTCTTCCCAAGTATGTCGAGGTTCATTTTTTATAAATGTTTTCTTCACATGTCTCCTTCTATTATCAAGCACCTACTCAACGTCTCTTCCCATTGTCCATCTCCTATTGATTGTTTATCAGGTGGTAAAGGTGAAGATTTAGATTGTGTACTAATTGTGCACAAGGCGATAGTCTGCGTTTGTTTGTCGTTGTAAAGATGTAGCCGCTTCCAACCAAGATTATTGTAATGGAAAAACTCTATTGCAAGCTGGGTGGTTTGAACACCAAGATCAAAGAACTTCATCCAAAAATTGACAAAGCCTGGTTCCTCCGTCACAACGCGCCTACACATAAAGCAAAGACAACCTTAGAGAAGCTGGCCTGAATAGGTGGGAAGTTCTGTCTCCTTCACATTCTAACGCCTACCGACTATCATCTTTTTCGCGCCCCGCGTATTGTATTGAAAATACACAGTCCAATGACAATATCCGTGTGAAAACGACACTCGAGAGTTACTTCAACAAAAATCTTTAGTCATTTTCTACTAATGAAATTGTAAGTTTGCAGCAAGAGATATAATTGATATCGACAGTGATTACCTAAAAGACTGAACTGTAATCGTGAATAAAGTTTCCTTTTTCCAAAAATACTAAATTTCACATTACAACCTGATGGATCAGCTCCCTTCTCTATTTTAAATCGCCTTTTTGTTTCATTATCAACTCTTTCCACCATTTTAAATAATATCGACAGTCTTAAACTACTGTTTTCCCGGACTTTTAAAATATTTTTTGAAAACACGAGGCGACAATACCATTAAAGTCAATGTCCAAGATAACAACTCTGTAAAATTGTTAATTGACTTAAGATAACATACACTTTACATTAATTTCACGTAGAAATTCTATAGCATGACGTAAAATCACGTAATGTGCACTTAACCAATCGATCACGTCATACGTTTTTTTCTACTCGGTGTTAATTCGATTTGGGACGTTGCGCCATCTGAGTTTTGCGATTTTAATTATTCTCCAGTCGCATAAATTTGCTGGTGAATAATCCAAAACGGCAATTCGCCTCCATAAACTTCATGTTGCGCGTACGATACCTTTAGACATAAAAAAAATTAATTCTCTTTAGCATTCCACGGGAAAACAGTTGACTTACTAAAGCACAACTTACTAAAGCACAATGGATGGAGTTAGTTGGCAGTTAGATAGTTCTCCCATGCATCTTTGCAAGCGCATGAAAGCAAGAAATGCAGATGTCCCAATGCAAACTGAAAGGATGCCGAATGGTCCTATTATGAACTAAAGAAATTTGGCTAATTCGGTTTTGTTGCTTCGGCATATGTCTGTGACGTTGTGACGTTGTCATTTATAATAAATAAACTCTTTTAAATGAAAATATTGTTTTCCTAATATACCGCTTCGTTGTTTAAAAAACTAAATTTCTGTTGATTGACCAAATAAAGTGTTTCCCATGCATGTCAAAGTGTCAGTCGTGTTGCAACACCTAAGTAGGTGTTGGGTAGGATAAAACTGCTTTTTAGTCGTCGTTTGGATTCTGTAAAATCTGTTTAAAGGACTAATTTCGAAACTTCTCATCCTCTAGCTGCTATCAGAATTATCATCCAAATAAATCGAGTAATTTTATCTGGTGATACGGAATGTTTGCTTATTTTCTTTAATTCGAACCAATACGAAAGGACATCATAATGCTGTAGTAACTATGAAAGCATACAACCTTTTCATATTTTAAAATCTTAAATAATTCTTTAAAAATTTACACGGATGTCCCTCAGAGGAAATTAATGATATTTCGACCTACACCAATGGTTGAGAAAAGGCATCATGTTGGGTCAGGTCTACGTATTTTTATAACCTACAACTCTCATCCGCAGTATTTTGATTAATTCATTACAGGTATATCTCCAAATTTCAAGCTGAATAGGATGCAATCTTCGAATACTTCGAGCCTCAAAACTTCAAGACGACAGACTCATTATTGGCATGCATTTTGACTCCAAAGCTCGCGTGAAAATCTACAGACAGGAAATCCAAGCATCTAAATTCAATTACATACAATACCTCCCGGATACTATAAACATAACTATAATACATATTTTTCTGTACCAATTCACACAGGTATCTTGTGAGATGAATTTGTTTTACTATACAAATCTGGAAGAGTTAATGGGGAAAACTCTCAGAAATCGATCTGAATTCGGATTCCTTACGACATTAAAATATCTTAAACAAGTAAAACCACTAAAATATTTATAAATGTATAAATATTTAAAGTTTTAAACCCCAAATTCAACTTAATAACTCGTTTTACATTATTAAAAAATAATTATTTTCCCGTTTCCTATTGAACGGTTGGGTAAACAGGTAAACCAAACATCTTACTTTATCACGCTTGGTAATTTATTCTGTGATCAATATTGAACAACTGCATACATTATTCATTTTCAATGATGCATTTTGTAGATTCAACTAACAACTACAGTTATGTTTCATATCTTTTTAATTATTATCACATTTAACATTTGCGAATTTTGTCAAAGGTAAGGAAGTATCATTAACAACTCTTTCTATGTAAAATTTAAATGTTTTAAACACATTTTATGACATCATGTAATTTATCTTCGTGTTTTAAAATCGAAGTATACGCTCGAAATAGCAAATATGAAACCTTTTATACTTTTATTCTTCAACCAGTATACTTAATCATTAAGTATACTGGTTGAAGGGTAAAAGTAGGGTAAAAGTCTTCTGCTTCAGCACCAAAAATTGTTCTCACAATTGCTGTATAGGCCGGGCGAATCAAAGTTTCGCCAATAGTACAAGGCTTCATTTCTCTCGCGATTATTTCTGCAACTAAATAACTGGCTTCTTGAACGCGGTCAGCAATTGTATATATATATAATTTTTTTTACAAAACTTTTACTGTTTGTTTTTCTTGTAATTTTATCAGATCTTTGAAATATTCAAGAGGTTTTTAGACAAGTGATCGTATTTTGTGGAGAAGTGTAGCAATAATTTACTGGGAACCATAGCTTCATTTGATAAAATCAAACCACACACAATACATTTTTTGTCTGGGAATTAATTTATCACCAGGTAAATCCCATTTTTAGGTAACTGTCTTGTTATAAGCGAGTTTTTACATTCTTTTTTAATGCAACATTTTTACGAGAACTTACTGTTTCTGTTTCTTTTGTTTCAATAATGCTTGTTTGTTGCTCAACATTAAAAATAGTCAAATCTTCACTAATAGAGCTCTCAATTTTTGATGATTTACTAGCGCTAATTGATCCCTTAGCTTTTCTACCACTTCTTGATGATTAGAATCTTCACGTTTTCTTTTTTTCAAAGAATCAATTGAATATTAGTTGATTCTTTGCAAGAAAACAAATGTAAATATAAAGAATGAACTGTTAAATTCTGCAATTATAGTTCGTTCTGGTATAATTTTGCCACTATTTATAATTTTAATGACTCTCTCACAAACAAGAATATCTAAAATAATTAATTTACTATAACATATAATTTACTATACATACATTTTAAATTGTTTACACAGGACATCGAATACATCAATAATGCTGCATATGAAATAAATAAGTTCCACGAAGAGAAAAACAAATCGATACTTAATATTCTAAATTGAAAGTAGTAATTAAAATAATTAAAATTAAAGAACAACTGACAAAACAAGGACAAAAAATATCTGTTATCAACAGCGACAGTTCCTTTGAATCATGTTCCATAGCTTAGTTAGAAATGGTTGGATTTTAAAAATACTCATAATTAATTAAAATTATCTTTCCTATTGAACAGATAATAATTAAAAGTTGTACAAATTGGCCCATTTTATATTAAAATTTTATAACTTTAATATGTAGAATGTCAGCAAGGTGAGTCATTTATTTGAAAAAAATAATATAAATAAAGCTTTTTATAAGAAATTACCTAAAAGTTACTTTATTTTTCAAGTAAATATGAATTTTCTTGAAATTTATTTATTTTTCTCTAGTTTTCAACGTGGAAAATACCTGTTAGATGTGATACCAGATGATTATGATAAGCATACACCGCCTGTCGTCGATGGTAACTAACTTCTATTATCTCCTTTTTTCTCTGAAATCCTATAGACTTCTATAGTATAGTCGCTTTTTCCGCGTGTCTAAATGCAACAAAATCTGTTACGCTAAAATTTCACACGAGAATGATTAGTAAAAAAGCTCGCCACTACGGCACTTTTCGCGCAACAGGCAATACAAGATATACTATGGAGAACTGCACGATGCAGGTTTTACAGCTCATTATGGTGTGCTCAGCATTATTTTGAAGCCGCAAAACTCAAAGGCCATGAACTACGACCCAGAGTTTGATGCACTTTCAGTGTTCTAAATTTGCAAAATGACCTCGACAAAGTACAATTTTTAAGTGTTTCAAACAACCAAAGTCACGTGAAGTAAGATATAAAGCACCTGGTGTGCCACAATAAGGCGTTTGATACTAACTTTGTTTTTTTAGATATGTTTACGCATGTATTGAAATGAACCCCCTGCCAAATTTAGTTGTATGTAGACTGCTAAGTATTTCTCTAGTCAGCGTTTATTAACCCATTTTATTTAATATTTTATATATTATTAAACTATACAAAGTTTTGTTTTAGGTAAACCAGTTGTCGTTTATGTAAACCTACAAATTATGGACGTAGATGAAATAAGAGAGCGAACGATGGTAAGGAAACAATCTCATGGATTGAGCTTTCACACTCATTCATAATTGCATACTTTTCTATTTCCAGGACTTTCGTATGCATTTATATCAAAATGAATTTTGGAAAGATCCTAGGTTAAAACTTAATTTGCTAAATTTAACACGTATAAAAGTGCTTCCCCCAATTGCTGAAAAATTGCTTTGGATTCCAGATTTGGTATTCGGTAATAGCAAATCGGGTCAACTTTTTCAGTTTTCGCTTCCAAATACAGCGATTAAAATAAACAAAGATGAAACAATTCAGAAAGTTTCGAGGTATGTGAAGTTCCTGATTTAAGATTGCTAAAGTTTTAAACTGTTATAAGTAGCACATGTTTCTTCACAGGTATAGCTTTCGTGTTTCTTGCCCTATGAATCTGAATAACTATCCTTTAGACACTCAACATTGTGTCTTCAAAATAAGCTCTAGTAAGTTGCACTGTGTCTAGAAGTAACGTTGCCACTTTAAATCATTTTGGAGACAAAACTGTTCGAGATAGAGTAATGAAATTTTGTTCGCGCGTTTATCTAGAAACAGGAAAACTTTGGACAGAATTTCAAAGTTGGTTACATTTTTCTTCTCTCTGGCGTTTAACAGTGCTACTCTCACAGCAATATCAAAGAAACCGTTTAACGTGCTTTTTAAACGCATGCTGTAAATTTGGGCACTTCTATATAATAATAATGGGGATTTTTAGTAAATCACATTCATATAACATAGTTATTGTGAGAGACGTATTGTCTAATTGTTTGACAATGAAAGGATGATTATGAAGCATGATCGTTCATCCGATCTATCACCTTGTGACTTCTGGTCGTGCAGCTATTTGAAATCCAGGATTTATACGGTGAAGTTGTGTATTTATCAGAACTAAGAAGCCAAATTTAAAAATGGAGTCTTATTAGCTCCGATATGTTGCACTAAGCTGTTGCTAATATGATAACTCGATTGCAATATGTTATATGTGACTCGGATTGTTAAACCGCTTCTTTAATAGTGTTGTGACGTTGTAGAACCCCTCTCTACTAGTAAGAATTGTAATTGTTTTGTATTAATTAACTTGCTGTTACTGAAACAACTCTATATTGTAGTTTATGAATGATAAATGTTTGCAGTATGCTTTTACAAAGAACTGTGTACAAGTGACAGTGGCGGCGTTGTAGACCCTACCGATGAATAGTGTAACTATTTTCGAAATTCTGTCCACAGTTTCCCCGTCTCGAGATAAACGCATCTATATAATTTTCTTAATCTATTTCAAACAGTTTCGTCTCCAAAGTGGTTTAAAGTGTATATTTTACGTGTGGACACCCTATACCTAATAAAAACTACCATATTTTAGTAATTAAAATAAATAATAATAGATTACACATTTATTATTAGTGTGTAATGATGGGAAAAAGTTAATTCTTGACTGGTCCGATGCCGAAAGTAGTCCATACAAAGTAAGAGGCCCGAGTATCATTTTACTAGAAGATATTCAACCACTAAAGTATGAAATGAAAGTGCCAAAGCCTCGTAGAGTTACTGAAATTTGGTTAAGGGGTAAGTGTTGTGTACGAAACATTTTCTTACGAAATTTATAATGAAATGCTTTATATTGCAGGAAATTACAGTTGTTTAATGGCCAATTTTACTTTTGTACGTCGAGTAACTAGTAGCTTAATTAACACTTACTTTCCTAGTAGCTTAGTCGTGGCTCTCTCTTGGTTATCCTTCTGGCTGCATGTAAATGCGGTTCCTGCTCGTATTACACTAGGAGTGACATCAATTCTTACACTTACTACACAAATTGCGCAATCTAGATCATACACTCCATCTGTTAATTACATCAAAGCTCTTGATATATGGTTATTTGTGTGTACGTTTTTTGTTACAGCGTCATTGCTAGAGTATGCTCTTTCATATCAGCTCAATGTATACCAACCCAAAGTAAGATAATTTTATTAAGTTAATTAATTTATAAAATTTTAATAATAGCTATAGTGAATGAAATCAGTTTTAAAGATAAATTTTATTTTCAGGAGCAATCTTCTTCGAATAAATGGGCAGAGAGGAGGACAAAAATTTTTGAAGATAAAGATAAAGAAAACATGTATAAAGTTCTAAAATCTGAAAAACGTGTTAATTGTTTTGATTTTCATTCTAGATTTATATTTCCAATTCTATTTATCACATTTACTTGCTGTTATTGGTGGTACTACTTGTATTACAAAACAAAAACCAGCAATTAAATCAGAAGCGTAAAGGAAATGCGAGTGACAATACAGCAGTAAGTACACAAACAGTACTGTGCAATGTTATGTAAAAATGTATCTCATTTGATGATGCTTGCGACAAAAATTTTGAGTATTGTTCTTTAGTTTATTGCAAAAATTACAACGTTCATTACATAGAAAACCGGAAAAATCCCACATTAAAAGTCGAGAGAATGAGCAAAATGTGGTAATTTCTAAATAAGAGGCAGCGTTGTTGATGAGCGATAACACAACGGGCCGATAAATTGGCAGCGTCTTTCTAGCAGTGCGCGATGCAAGAGCGATGTACTGTTGTGCTATTTTTGACAAAAACTGATCGACATTCATTGGCACGTTCTGATACAGTAGGGAAACAACTAAACAAGTAGAACAAGACGATCTAAGGTTTCACAAACAGCTAGAGTTCTGTGGAAAATTCTCCAGGACATTTTCTGCGGTTTCAGCTGTAGAGAATCTACCACACAACTGTGGCTCTTTTTGGAACCTCATAATCTACTCGTACACTTGCGTGTAACTCTTGTAGTTGTCTCTTTTCCGTATCTTCATGTGGCCAATGGATATCGACCAGTTAAATGGCGGCGCCCATTTTATTGTTCAATCGTGTTGTTGCCAGTCGTATTTACTGTTGCCCCTGACTTGGAAATTCTTTATGTAAAAATTACCTCGCTATTGCTCATCCTCCTGAATTTTATTGGAAATTTTCCGGTTTTCTAATTCAACATGTTTTTTGTATGTCTATAATCTTTAATACGCGTAATTGTACAGTACATATGACTTATAAAACATAAATATTTAAAAGTCTATTCTTCATTGGTACTGTACAACGATTCTTGTCAAATGAATAAATAACTCTGAAAAAATTTATTAATGGGTCAAAATTCAGTAAAAATTCGTTCTCTGAAAGAGAATTTGAATCGATTCTTTGTTTTAGTTTTGAAATACAGTATTTCGTACATAATTAATTCTTCCAGAATATTAAAGGCGGTCGTTTACGTTTTCGTAACGTTGGTTATGGAGAACGGTGCCTGTTATTTAGAAATAAATGTAATTCATATCCTATTTGAAGGGTCTGGAGATTGTAAAAATGCCCGTTAAGTAGAGATTTCCGCTATTCGAAAGTGTGCGTTAATAGAGCTTTCACTGTATTATGATTTCTTGTTTACAGATCTAACATAACTTTTGGAATTGTAGCCAGAAAAATCTTTAAATATATTTAGAGTGAAAAAATATCAACTTTAGTCCCCTTATATTTTATTTTATTCATTATTTCACCTTATAGAGGAGCTTAATGAAATACAAAATTCCATTTTACAAAAACATTATAGTATTGTTTTATGGAGAAATAATTCATTTTTAAGTAAGGAGCCAATCTAAAAAGTTAACTTATTTTTATTTTTAACTGATAGTAATTAGGAATAAAGACTTCGTAATTTATAATTACAACTAGAAAATACCACAAATCGAGCTTCTGGTTGTTGGCACTGTTTGCCGCAGCGGTGTAATATAGAACTAATGTTCACTCGAGGTCTAGACCAGGGTTTTTCACTCTTTTTTTTTATATCGCTGAGCACTTGAACCTATAATTAAATTTTCGCTTCACAAATTTACGCAAAAAATAGCGTGATTTAAGGCTACGTTTGTAAACATTTTAAACATTATATCGCCATATTACCTGTTATTAAACTTAATTATTTTTGTTTACATTATTTTGAAAATTAAATAAAACAGTATTTTTCTTCCTTAAGCGATAGTTTATTGCCTCAATCTGTATATTGCAGAATTAAAATTATTATTAGGGTTTTTATTATTTTTCATCTAAAAGAAAGATGAAGATGCAATAATACGAAAAATAAAGTTAGTTGGTTGCTATGCGTAGTGAATTTATAGATAGAAACCTTGACATTATTCAAACATGCGAGTTGTTACTTAGAAATGCATAATGTATTCAGAACTACATTTTGCATTTATTACGAACGATTACTTTTTGCTTATATAATGCTGCACCATTTATTATATTTTCTAATAAAAGCTTTACGTGACATTACGAAAATTAAATGTTCGATCGACTGGTTACACAACATACTTTGGGTAACCATGTGTAACGTAAGTTTTGAGACATTTTGAGTTACCCGCTACCGTGTTCAGTGCCTTATACCATCCTATCGGACATTTTTGTAACTAACTGTAAATAAAACTCTATTGCCATAGAAGTCTCCCTGTGAAATATGACTACATTCTGTTTACTAATTCACGAATTATGCCTTTTTTGAAATGCGAACTTTAATGAGTAATTGCTGTATTCGAAAACTCGTAATTTCAAGAAGCGCTAGCACTTCCTGGTATATAAATTTGTTTCAGAATTAGAACTTCTTCGAATGCAAACATCATGTCATCAGGTGTCGGTACGAGTGTCTATTTCGACAAGTGTCTACTGGAACTACCTATTCGATGTAATGTCTAACGGCTTATTAGTACATGTTAAAAAATAAAAGCGTTGAATGTCTTATTAATTCCGTGTGTTCTAACATGAAAATTAGTGTATAAGTCTCTTCTATGGCAATTTTAACATATTTTACATTTTTGTTAGTTCGCAAGAAATTTTTTTTATGTATAAAATATATAAACATTTTTTATTTTACTTTATACCATATAACTTTCTTTATACCATATAACTTTCTACTAATAAAGGTCAAGCCACCATAAAATCTACTGATACACAATATTTTTCTTTTCCTGCATAAGGAGTTTTTCGAGTGTAGTGGAGAGATTACAAGACAAGGTTTCAAGAATTTCGAGAATGCAAGACAAGATTTCTCCAAACGTTTCTGTAAATTACGTTGGAGAAACCATGTCTTATAAAAGAAAGTTTGAAGGGCATGGTTTCTAGAATCGTCTGGAAACTTTGTCTGCATAAAACATTTGTCTTGGTCGAATTCCTCGATGAATATAAAACTTGTTCCTGCTTTCTACAAACTTCCTCAAACATTTTTCAAATATGCTTTTTACAAGTCAGTTAATCGGCTATCAATCCGGCTACAAGTCATCAAAAATCGTTTTATGACTCGTTCGATTTGCTGAATATTGGTCAGTAGAAGGAAAAGAAAGGAATGACAAAATTTCCTGAAGTTTTCAGTTTATTCCAAGTTACTAGGGTGAGGTCTGTAAATGGTATTGTTGTATTGAATTATCTGCGTTATTTATTAATTAGAGTAACATTTTTCTTTATCCCGGTTAATCGAGAGTCTAATGCACCTAGTGTATATAATTTCTGATATTGCGTGAACATTATTTGTCTGTTTCGTACTAATCGATGTTATTATTATATTTTCGTAACTAATTTTAATGCCGTATAACAGGATGGCCAAACTTGGTTTGGTTTGATAATATACAGCAATGTGACACATGGGCGATCTGCTATGGAAATTGCCTCCCGACAGCAATTTATATGGAAAACTGATCTTTATTTAAGTGTTGGACATGTGTAGAAACTACGAATAACTCTAAGTGTCCTGCCCGTTCTGAGGCACGAACACATGATTAGTATTTAGTGGTTAGCTTGTATAATTACTGATTCTTTAGCACAATTCTCTTGTAATTCTTGCTGAACCGAAATATATTTAGCATTAAAAATATCACTTTAAATTTTATGTTACTATTTACATGAATTATGATGCGAGAAGAAATTTACAAAACATATTGCTGTCAGTTGTAGTTTGGACAGCTTACTCTTAGTGTCTTTCCACTGTTTTCATTGTACCATTGTATATACTCTATATGTTTGTATATACGCGCTTTGTTTGTTTGTACTGATGCACCCCTTTGTATCAATCTTGTTTATTCTCCTGTACGCGATTCTACCCGGTTATCTTCTACGGCACCGGATATTTACCATTGGTATGTTATAAATAAAATAAACTGAACTGAACTGAACTATAGTTTGGACATCCTGTTTTATGAAAACAATATTACAGATTTTCTTTTATTAAGTAAATAAGATATGTATCTACACCATAGATTAAAAGATATCTAAAATAAAGATAGTCATCAAAAATTGAAGTAGTAATTGAAGCAATGCAATGAGGAATATTCAGTAAATTCAAGTAAATTTCTTTATTATACTGCTTAAAATAATTTAAATAAATTCAAATAATATTTTAAACATGCTCAAAATGAACACATTAAAGATGATTCGCGTAATTGAAACTACTGATCACCTATATATTCATAATTTACTTCTACTCGTTGTCCAAAACACCCTTTTGAATCTAGGCAAAGATTGGTAAAAACAATAGTGTACTGAATACAGAACTTTCGGTATATATTGTTGACTTATATTGTTTTCTTTTCTTATATGCAAATATATGATTAGCATAAATTTGTAAAATTGTTATTTTCATGCATCTCACTGCCATAGTTATTTATACCTGCGCATTGCATTAAGAAGTAAATCTTTCTTGAATTTTGTATAAGTTATCAAAATTTCTCGAGATAATATATATAAATATTCAGGAATACAGATGTTTTTTGCTTCTCAGTGACTTTTCACATTAAATTTAAACATATTATTTAATTCGAGAAACGCCGTAAACACAGAAAAGTACAATAGTTCAATCTTTCAATACTTGGAATTTGAAGATTCATTTAATAAAATTGCATAAATTTCAGGATTTGTATGAATGTTTTCAAGATTCAAAGTATGTTTATTTCGTTCATAAATAAAACATAATT